TACTGGTCCATACTGGTCCCTAACACCCCCTCTCTCTCCACAGCCCCTATACTGGTCTGTACCGGTCCATACTGGTCCATACTGGTTTCTAACCACTCCTCCCTCCCCACAGCCCCCACACCAGTCCATACTGGTCCATACTGGTCTATACTGGTCCACACTGGTCCCTAACACTCCGTCTCTCTCCACAGCCCCCATACTGGTCCATACTGGTCCATACTGGTCCATACTGGTCCATACTGGGCGATGACGGCAAAGTGGTACGCCACCATCGACATTGCCAACGCGTTCTTCTCCATTCCTTTAGCGGCAGAGTGCAGGCCACAGTTTGCTTTCACCTGGAGGGGTGTTCATTACACCTGGAACCGACTGCCCCAGGGGTGGAAGCACAGTCCAACCATCTGCCATGGACTGATTCAGGCCACACTAGAGAAGGGTAAGGCTCCAGAACACATCCAGTACATCGATGACATCATTGTATGGGGGAACACAGCAGAAGAAGTTTTTGAGAAAGGACAGAAGATTATCCAGATTCTCCTCAAGGCCGGTTTCACCATGAAGAAGATTAAGGTCAAGGAACCTGCCAGAGAGATCCAGTTCCTAGGGTGAAATGGCAAGATGGACGATGCCAGATACCAACAGATGGAATCAGCAAGATTGTAGCAATGGCTCCACCAACAAACAAGAAAGAGACCCCAGCTTTTCTGGGAGCCATAGGCTTTTGGAGGATGCACATCCCAGAGTACAGCCAGATTGTGAGCCCTCTTTACTTTGTGACCGGTAAAAAGAACAACTTCCAGTGGGATCCTGAACAACAACATGCTTTCAGGCAGATCAAGCAAGAGATTGCACATGCTGTGGCTCTTGGACCAGTCAGATCGGGACCAGATGTAAAGAATGTGCTCTACACTGCAGCTGGAGACAAAGGTCCTCATGGAGCCTCTAGCAAAAGGTGCCTGGCGAGACATGAGAGCAACCACTGGGTTTCTGGAGCCAAAGCTACAGAGGTTCTGAGGCCAATTACACCCCTATGGAGAAGGAAATCTTAGCAGCGTACGAAGGCATAGGAGCAGCTTCAGAGGTAATTGGTACTAAAGCACAGCTCTTCCTGGCACCCCAATTACCAGTGTTGAGCTGGATGTTCAAAGGGAAGGTGCCCTCTATGCATCATGCTACCGATGCCACATGGAGCAAGTGGATTGCTTTGATTACGCAACGTGTCCGAATCGGGAACTCGAATCACCCTGAAATTTTGGAGATTATAACTAATTGGCCTGAAGGTGGGAACTTCAGTCTGGCAGATGAAGAAGAAGAGCCAGTGAGTCGAGCTGAAGAAGCTCTGCCATATAATCAGCCGTCAGATGAAGAGACGCACTATGCCCTTTTCACTGATGGTTTCTGCCGTATTGTAGGGAGGAGCCGGAAGTGGAAAGCAGCCGTTTGGAGTCCCACCCGATGAGTGGCGGAAGCCACTGAAGGTAAAGGCGAATCAAATCAGTTTGTGGAACTCAAAGTGTCCAATTGGCCCTAGACATTGCAGAAAGAGAAGGATGGCCAAGGTTCTAATATGATAGCTAATGATAGCTAATGCCCTACGGGGATGGTTAGACCGATGGAAGAAGATGGAGGCGTGGAGGAAAACCCATCTGGGCTGCTGACTTGTGGCAGGACATCGCTGCCAGAGTGAAGAGTCTGAATGTGAGAGTCCACCATGTAGATGCCCATGTACCCCAGAGTCGAGCTAATGAAGAACACGATAACAACAGACAAGCGGACCAAGCTGCACAGGTCGAAGTGTCACAAGTAGACCTAGACTGGCAGCAGAAGGGAGAGTTGTTCCTAGCTCGATGGGCCCATGATGCTTCAGGTCATCAGGGCCGAGATGCCACCCACAGATGGGCACGAGACCGAGGGGTGGATTTAACCATGGATACCATTCCTCAAGTTATCCATGACTGTGAAACCTGTGCCGCTATTAAGCAAGCAAAAAGACTGAAGCCCCTGTGGTATGGTGGACGCTGGGATAAGTATAAATACGGAGAGGCATGGCAGGTTGATTACATCACGTTGCCACAGACCCGCCAAGGTAAACGCTATGTGCTTACCATGGTGGAAGCAACCATGGGATGGTTAGAGACATATTCAGTACCACATGCAACGGCCCGAAATACCATTCTGGGTCTCAAGAAGCAGATCCTGTGGAGACGTGGCACTCCAGAGCGCATTGAGTCAGACAATGGGACTCATTTCAAGAACAGTCTAGTGGCCACTTGGGCATGGGAGCATGGTATTGAATGGGTATATCACATTCCATATCATGCACCCACTGCTGGGAAAGTTGAAAGGTGTAATGGACTAGTAAAGACAACTCTAAAGGCACTAGGTGGGGGAACTTTCAAAAACTGGGATAAGCACTTAGCCAGGGGCACCTGGCTAGTTAACACTAGAGGCTCTGTCAATTGAGTTGGCCCTGCCCAAGCAGAATCCCTCCACACTGTAGATTGAGACAAAGTTCCAGCAATCCATCTGAGAGGTATGGTAGGTAAGGCTGTTTGAGTTACTCCTGCCTCAGGCCAAGACAAGCCCATTCATGGGATTGTTTTCGCTCAAGGGCCAGGATATACCTGGTGGGTTATAAGGAAGGATGGAGAAATCCAGTGTGTGCCTCAATGAAATCTAACCTTGGGGAAAAACTAATTCTGTGCCTTGAGTTGTGTTTTACAGGAGATCAGACACCAGATGAGAAAGACCTGGACAAAGCGGATGCCAGTATCCAATGATGAGACAACCCAGAGCAGTGAACCAGCCCTAAAACCAGAACTGTGATTGTGACGAAAGGGCCAAGGATCCAAACTGAGCTGCTGTTGGTGCTGATCTTCAACGACAGACAACAGCTTTGAAATAAAACAAGGACTATATATAGGTATAGATACGTGCGAGATATAAGTGTTACGTAAAGAAATTATATGGAATAAGAGGTGGAGAATGTAGTGGGTTGGCTTTTGGATTTTTTAGGCCTTCCTTAGCAACGGGGTCAGAAATCTAAGGAAGTATTCCAGATCGTCCCTTTCCGCAACACAACATATAAAAAGGCGCAGATAAGAGAGCTCGCGCTCTTCTCTCCCCCGGTGGCTGAATGCAACAGGTCTCTCCCCAGACAGTCTTTGCTTGTATAGGCCAGGGCCTACTGGTAAGAACTGCCGTTATCTCCAGTCTCTTCGGGAGGTGTGGGGGAGTTGGTTGGTGCTTCACACAGTTCTGATATCTTGTTCAGGGAAGTATTTAATTAATTTCTTTGTATTTATTCGCTAGCTCTATAGAAATGGTGTATATTTGGAGGATATTTGTTTTAGGGTTTTTTTTATCTCTGTTTCCCCTTCCCGTTTTTCCCCCCTCGGGAGCTCCCAATCATGTGTAGAATACATTCAAATTGTATATATAATTGTAAATATATATTTTTGCTCTAGCTTTGGCTGTTCGGGTTTTTTTCCTTCCCTCTCGGGGGACTAGGCTTTTTCGCTGGGTCTCGGCAATTTTGTGGAGAGCCAGCAACAAAACTTACACACTGAGCTCCAAACTTACTGTGGGGTGGTGGGGGCTGCTGGATCCAATCTCAGCCTTGGATTATGCCAACACTTTCAGTTTGGAGGAATTACAGAGGTGTGACTGAACCACTTTGGTCCCAAGGTTTTAATGATGGCAAATGATTTAGGGTTACAAAGGATCAAACAAAAGATCTTCATCAGAATTATTTACTGCACAATAGAAACACTAAAACTACCAGGAGTACAGGATAAGATAGGACAGTGCCCTACACTAAAGCAATTGTTGAAGCAATTCTACTTAAGCTGGCACAAAAGCAATAATTTTTATTAGAGATGGATGGAACTCCCCCAGACCAATGCTCGGGGGGAGATCTCTGCTCTCAACCTCCAGCAGTGACCTTAGAGGGTCCCCAGCCAAGGCAGGAATCTCCACACATCCCGTCAAGAAGGGTTCTGTTGGCAGAACCTGCCCCTGGGAAAGGGGACTGACCCTTTGTGGTCGAAAGGGATGCACTGACAGTCACTAGACTCCAGGGGTTGCCTCACCATCAGGGGCTTCATTCGGGGTGGAAGCAGCGGCCGATACTCTTCCCGCAGTCGAGGCACTGGTAGGGCTTCCCTTACTGGTGGGTCCGTTGGTGTCTGGTCAAGCCAGACCTGTCGGTGAAGCTCTTCCCACACTCCCCACACTTGTAGGGCCTCTCCCCGGTGTGGATGCGCCAATGGGTGACAAGGGTGGAGTTCCGGTTGAAGCCCTTCCCGCAGTCGGTGCAGCAGAAGGGCCTCTCATCCGTGTGCGTCTGCTGGTGCAGGAGGAGATTTGAGCTGCGCTGAAACCTCTTCCCACATTCCAAGCACTTGTAGGGCCTTTCCCCAGTGTGGATGAGCTTGTGGGTACAGAGGGTGGAGCTGTCACTGAAGCTCTTCCCACATTCCCTACATGTGTAGGGCCGTTCCCCAGTGCGGATATACTTGTGCCGGATCAGGTCGGAGCTGTCCCTGAAACTCTTCCCACATTCCCCACACGTGTAGCGCCGGTCCCCAGTGTGGATGCGCTGGTGTTGTATCAGGTGGGAGCTCTGCCTGAAGCTCTTCCCACATTCCAAGCACCTGAAGCGCTTCTCCCTGCTGGGAGGCTGCTCAGGGACCACCAGGTCAGAGCTCCCCCTCAAGCTCTGGCCGCCTTCCCGGCACAGGCTGGCTCTTTCCTCCTCAGAGCACCCTGGGCTGGCTTTGGAGCCCCTCCTGTGGGGGGATCTCTGGGCCTTTTCCTCCCCACTGCCTTCCTGTGCCGTGGAGCCCTTCAAAACGGCCTCTCCCACCAGGGTCTGACGGGGGGATTTGTCCTCTGGGCTCTCCGTCCTCAGCTCGGGGCCTGGGGCAGGAAGCAAGAAGGACAGGGAGGGGATTTGCCTCCGGCCCACAGGGAAGGCCAAGGACATCCCCCCAACTCCGGCCCCGGCAGGACGGCGGCGGCAGCGGGGTTGTCCTGCAGCCGGGGGCCATGCTCGGCTGCCAGAGCCAGCACAACACTGGCCCAAAGGACCACTGACTTCCTCCTCACCTGCCTGGGGGGCCCGCGGCATCTTCCTCTTCCTCGCAGCCTCCTCCTCCATCCGCCCAAGCTTTGGGAAGGACAAATCCTGATGGGGAGAAAAACAAGGGCTGAGCGCGTTGGCTTGGGGGTTCCTCCTGCCCAAGTCCCTCTCTAGAACTCACCGGGCATCCTGTGACCATAAAAACCTTCAAAACACCAAGATTCAGCCCAGAAAAACCAAAACCATCGAGATTCAGTTAAAAAAACCCTCAAAAGTAGCAAGAAGACCCTCACCACCCCAAACTGCAAAAAGTTGAGATTCAGCTAAAAAATACTCCAAAATGTGAAGATTCAGCCCAAAAAAAGGTGATGGGGACTGAATTTAACCCTCCAGCAGGAAAGTTGTTTGATTTCAAGCTCGTCTTCAAGGGGAGCCCTGCAATTGGAGCCTGGGCTCTAATTAACCTCTCCTGTGCTGCCAAACAGCAGGAGCTGTATGGCCAAGAGATAAACTCTGTGATCCCTGTCAGTGTCCATGGTCTCTGTCAGTGTCCTTCAGGGAAATTAGGAGGAGGAAATGAAGAAACTGGTTTGGAACTAAACCCACGTTAAAGTGGGAAAAAGCTCCTTCCATGGAAATAAAACTTAGTTTTTCCAGGGCTGAACGAGCTCATTCACGGATGAAGGACTGGAACTTCTGTGGACACTTGTGCTGGTTTCTTTGGACACTTGTGTTCCTTCACATAGGCCCCTGGAAACACTCTGCTGTTCACTCCCAGTGCCACCAGTGCCTGGGTCCTGTCTGCAGCAGCAGATTGCAGTGGGATGGGAGAAATGCTTTTCTGAGCCTCTGGGCAGGATACAGGCACAGCCTCACCCTGAACCCAAGGGAAACAAAGACAAATTCCACGGCTTTAGCTGGAGCAAGGTTGGGTGGGTTTCCTGAGGGCAGCACTACACCAGACTTTTGTGTGTGTGTGAGACAGGCAGAACCACAAATGCCTGCACAGCCCAGAGCAGTCAGTGTGGTGCTGGGCTTGCTGCTGCAGAGACCCCCAGGGAACAAACCCAGGCAATAGTTTGGGTTTATTCCTTGCTCTGTGTCAATGGAATAGAACGTTCCACAGGAGCTCTGTCCCCCTCTGTGGCATCAGGTGGTTTCAAGCTGAAGGGGGGGGGG